TTGAGATATGTAAAATCTCAACATATTTTAATAATATCAAATATCAATATTGGGTCACTAAAATTTATAGCTAGAGTCAAAATGGAGAATAATATGTGAAATCAAAATTAGGTAGTGGCTGCATGTGATATATGTATATATAAAGTATAAGTTTTTGATTCTACATTAGTTACACTAACAAGTAGTGTAGAAAGTTTAGTTTGTCTATGAAACGCTAATGCAATTCCTCCTACATTTTAATCGGTTTTAAAAGCCTTTTCTCCATTACTAATAACTACTACTAGTGTTGTGAGAGGCTAAACCATATTCTCCAATTATTTTCACCAACGAATTTCAAAGAACCAGTTTGAAAAAGTATTGCATATCGATACCCAAGAATCAATTTGTTGTTCTTCGCTGTTTGGAACAAATTATGTGACTATGGTACGTACTGACTAGGAAAATAGTTATTTGAGTCTTTAATCCATGATTATTTCTAGTTGTTGAGTGGTCCATGACCAACGTTCCATCTCAGACCTTTTTTCAGCAATGCTCGAGAACTCTTAATGCTACACCACATATGACTTGGATTGCGACCAATATTGGAATTCAAAAACTCCCCTCAAGGAAATATTAGCTTTCAAAAGATTAGACACCATAGCATTGGGATTGAAAATGAATTTTCACCCTTGTTTGCCAAGCACGACTAAGTCAAAACCATGAATATTACAAAAACCCATGCCACCACCTGATTTACAAACTATCAACCATCCTAAGCAATCCATTTTACATATTTTCCATTAATATTCCACCAATAGGAATTGAGCGTGCGTTTAATTTCATTATAAATGGATTCTACAAGATAAGCACCTATTACATGAGAAAGAATAACTTGTAGGATAAATTTTGTCATGATCTCACAACTAGTCATTAAAAAAAAATTATGATTAATAGAATTTATTTTTTTATCTTCCAAATTCTATCCTAAAATGAAGGTATCTTTTTTTCTCCTTACGATCATGGATGACATACCAAGATATTTGCCTAAACCCATCGCCTTTTCACTCTCAATATAGCTGAAATATTATGACACTTGGATATATCTGTATTAAAGCTTAACAATATGTCATATTTGTTCAAATTGATAGCCTAACCTGAAGCTCCCTCACAAATCGTAATACCATGGATGTCACCATTTCATTCAACCACTCAAACACTCTAAACATATCAAAAATTAAAAGGGAGAAGAAATTGGGTCCCTCGGCAAAGACCTCTACTTGGAGTAATAGGGCCCACAAAATCTTGATTCACATACTAGTGCAAAAAACACTTTCAAAATCAGAGTTTTAAAATCGGTTAAGAGAGAAACGATTTTAAAAGTGACGCGGTGACATTTTTGTAAATAATTCCACTAATTTTAAGATTGGTTAGAATTTAACTGATTTTAAAACGTATTTTAAGATCGGTTAAAATTTAACCGATCTTAAAATGTCTCTCTGGTACTACTTTTAAAATCAGGTTTTGAAGAACTGATTTTGTAGATAGTATACAAAATCAGTTACTTCCAGAACCGATTTGGTGAACCTAATATAAAATCGGTTATTAAATAACCGATTTTAAAAACGTTATACAAAATTAAGGAATAGGGTTCCCTTTTTCTCCTTTCTCTTTCACGCTGCCATTGCCATTTTCTCTCTCACATTCGCCATCTTTGTTTGTTGTCTCTATCGTTAAGGAGTTTCACCCATTCGCCTTCGTCGTTAAGGAGTTTCGTGTCGTAGTGGTTCTTGTCATCTTTGTCGCACCAGGTAATAAAAAGATAAATTTTTTGTTGCTTGTGAATGGGAGGTATGAGGGGGATTATTTTCTCCAAAATCAGCTTCTCTTCTTTCCTTCGATTATTTCATCTTTCAATTTCATGTTTTCTGGAGACGAATTTCATTTTTAACTCACATTGTGCGTTGAATCCTACCTACTGCTTTGAGTTTCGTTGCATCTCCATCGGTTAGGGTGTTTGGTTGGATGTGTACACGTGGCGTGTCGTTTCACCATTCTCGTTGTTCATTGTTATGAGTATTATCACTCATGTTATACCATCTTTAAATAAATTCTCTACAAGGTTTTGGTAATTGGCTATTTTAAGGGTAGGGAGAGGGCGAGGTCATTGTTAAATATTTTATTGTAGTTTTTGCATTTTTTGGTTTCTTTTATGATATATCTTACCTCTACTCTTGAAGTTGGACATCTCTTTTTTTGCTTCTCTATTCAAATTAATTTATCTGTAAATTGTATTTTCCTATTATCATTCTTAAATAGATCTATGCTTGTTAAAGTTCTATGAGCCACAAAATTTTTTTTTGGTCCAGCTTCATTATATACTCAAGATGAAATGTAGACATTAATGTAGCATACACACTTTACTGCAAATATGTATCTGCTCAGAGATACTCTAAAGCATTAGATATCCTACATTCAGGAGCATGCATTCAGTTGTCTCACGGGCAGGTTATACATTTTCTATTTCAATGTCTTTAAAATATACTTTTTCCATTTTTATGATCTTTATTCTGGCATGAGTAATTAATAGAATGTTCATTGTTGTCGTGCTACTAGCAACCTTTTATTTTTTTGGGGGGCTTCAGTGAGCATAAAAATTTTAGTAAAGCATGGCTAGAAGATTTGAAACCCTTTCAACACTTCTATATAATTTAAATTACTTATAAAATATATTTATGGTTATAATACACGCACACATGATTTAAATATATAGTACACTTGACAAACAACAAAGTTTAACAATTATTTTCTCTTTATCTAAGGTTACCTGTGGAGCAGAGCTAACTTTATTTTTTGTGGAGACATTAAGGAAAGGGAAAATTCCTTATGATGATGAAATAGGTTATTATAGTTTTTTTGTTATTTACTTCTATTTATACTTTTATTTTTGTTGTTATTTTAAGTATTATTTGTTATAAATTCAATTTTATACTAACAACTTGTAATTTATTTTGTTTTGTGTCAACAGATAAATATGGATGAACATCAAGACTCTCCTTTAGACTCTACACAAACTACAGCCAAGAAGAAAGTCAGAGGTCCCACTAGAATGAAGAATGTCACTTCCAAATTCCTTCATGAGGAGAGATTGCATGTTGATATTGATGAGATAACTAGGAGACCTATGGGGGACTCAATGAGTACCATGTAGAGGAGGTTGTCAAGAACCATATTTGGGCAGATATTACGGTAAAATTTCATTTATATTCAACATTTTTCATTATTACCTTCATTAGGATATAACATGTACTAACTCATTGTTATCATAAATGTAGGAAACTTGTGACATTCCTAGGACAGAGGACATGAGAAGGAAAACCCTCTTTATTGTGGCTGAGAGGTAGAGGGCATATAAGACCAGCCTCACGAACAATTACATTTTTGGGAAAAAGAAAGGTGAATTTCCTGGTCATAAAAACCCCACTATAGATCAAGAGACATGGAACGCATTTGTAGAGTCTAGAATGACTAAAGAGTTTTTGGTAAGTTAGGATTACATGCATTGTTATTTGTGTTGTTCAGAATATTATGTTTTTACCTTTAATCTCATTATATGGTACTTTTGTAGGAGAAAAGAAAGAAGACACAAGAGATTCAGGCAAACAATGACACCACTGTTGTGATGTCTCGTGGGGGTTATCCATGGCTTAAGAAAAAGTTGATGAAAGAGAAGGCTATGAAGCGTCAAGCTAGCCAAGATGAAACTACAGTTAATGATCCTCCTTCTCCACCCACACACCATGAATTATGGAAGTTTTATCGCATAAAAAAACAAGCGAGTTTACAACTGAGGCAACAAAAGAGATTGCTAACAAGATAGTAAGTATAATTGTTTTGTACATATGATGTTAATTAACATATGGATCAATAGATGTTTATTAAATTGTTTTTTGTTTCTTGTATTGTAGGATATATTGGAACAATAGTCCACAAAGGAATCTTATGTTTCCCATGGACGCCACTCATAATTGCAATTGGAAAGCCTGAGCACCCAGGTTGGGTTCGGGCTGCTGGTGGAGGTCATAGTCTACGAACCTACTTTGGATCACACTCATCTTCACAGACATCTGGCACGGTGGACCAGTTGGTGGAACTAAAGGTCTCTCAAGTTTTAGCAACTTATGAGCAAAAATTTAGTCAGATGCAAGAGGCGATTCATAAGCAACAATAAGAGGACATGCAAAGGCAACTACATGAGCATATGCAATCACTCAGTCAACAATTTCAACAAAGTACTCCACTAATAGAACCATTTATTACATGTGTGAGTACAAAGGGATCATGTGCATCTATTGATCCCTTTGTTACTGCCACTAGCCCGGATACATCTAATAAATGTGAGTTGTTTGTGGATGGATCACTCGATCCTGTGGGTATAGGGCAGATTCATATATTAGGGTCCATTGTACACCATCAATTCATGGGAGATGATATGGTTAGGGTTTCAGTGTTGGATGTGAGACAACCAAAGGCTAGAGTTCTTGTGCCCACAAAGGAGGTTCAGACAATGGGACAAGCCTTGAACACCTTCCTTCAATGGCCTCATAAGTTAGTAAAGGTGATATCTACGAAGGTATGTTATTTAAATAATATTTAATTTTAAGTTGGTGTAACTTTATTATAATATTGTATAATATTAGTTTTGTACTTTGTGGAATAGGATATTGTTACCTCACCAAAGGGTAAAGGGACGGTAATTGTTACCCCTTCTAGAAATCTTCCTCCAATAAAGAGGCTATGGAGATTAGTTGCAGATATAGAAGATGATGAGAAACCCAAACAACTCCCTTGGGCTCCTAAAGTGTTTAACATGCCTAGTAAAGTACCTCTATATATAAGTCAAAGAGATATATCAGAGATTACAAATGGTCATTGTATGCTAAACATATCAATTTTGCAGTTATGGTTGTTGTAAGTATTTAAGGGAAATGATCACATATATGGATTTTTGGAACCTGAGTCAATCCAAAAAGGTGGGAACAAGGTCGAAGAAATACAAGCTTACATTCAAAATTGGATGTTTGACTCAAATAAAAAAGTTTACTTGGCCCCTTATTTTTCTGAGTAAGTTTAATTTTATATAATTAAATATAATTTTTTATAAAAACTATTTTCTATATTACTCATAATTTCTTAATGCAGTGCTCATTGGCAACTTTTAGTTATTTGTCCTATGGACAACATAGCTGTATGCATTTGCTCGTTGCATAAACCTCCTCCTATGGATTTTAGACAATTATTAGATAGGTAAATTGTTTAAAAATATCTAATTTCTTTTATTGATTATCATTACATTTGACTTTACACTAATCATAATGTCATTTTATCATTAGGGCCATGGAAGGATATCATATACTTAAGGGTTCAAAGTTGAAGAAAAAAATGAGTTGGGTCTCTCCTAAAGTAAGATTTTAATTCTAGCAATGATATTTTTTTTAATAATTTTTTTGAATTACTATTCTATTGAAATTGATTTTATATTCTTTTTGTAGTCTTATAAACAAAAAGGAAATTATGAGTGCGGATACTATGTAATGAAGACAATGCATACTATTTTCGATTCACAAATAGTATATGGGTGGGCTGAAGTAAGTTTTACAATTTTGAAAGTTTTTGTTTTAAGTTCTCATTCTATATATTTTATGAATTATTACTAATTGTTTTAATTTTTCTTAACAGATATTTATAGATCGATCACCATTGTCGCTAGAAGACATAAATACCATTAGGGAGCAATGGGCCACATTTTTTATTGACCATTACTTTAACTAGTTCGGGTTTATGTTTTATAGTATTGCTTTAACTAGTTAGAACTTACATTTCATTGAGCAATGTGGTCCATTTATGTATTAGATGTATTTAAAACTATTCAATTATATATATGGTTGACATTTATCATCTCTTCTCATTTGTATGCAATTTGATTCATTGAGAAGTAACATAGAAAATACAAATATTTTGGTTAATTGAAAACATTTGAACTGTCAGGTATTTATTCATTTGCAAGTTTTTTTCTGAGATGCTCCCAAAACAAGTCAAACATTAAAAAAAATCAATACTTTTAAGACTAGCTATGCCATACCCAATTTTAAAAATATAAGACTTATAAGTTCGGTTTTTTCATAACTGATCTTAAAAGTCTTGACTTTTATTATCAGGTGCACTTTTAAGATCGATTATGCCATAACCGATTTTAAAAATCTAAGACTTTTAAGATCGGTTGTTTCATAACCGGTCTTAAAAGTTAACTTTTAAGATCGGTTATTTTATAATTGATCATAAAAGTCAAGACTTTTAAGATCGGTTATGAAACAATCAATCTTAAAAGTTAACTTTTAGGATCGGTTAATAATCGATTTTAAAAGTCTAACTTTTTAAAATCGGATCTTTTAAAATTGGTTAGGGAACCGATTTTAAAAGTCTTTTTTCCACTAGTGACAATTCACAGTCTCAACACATTGCACCATTCATTTGACCCAACAATAATTGAACCCCATCTTAGCATAATAACATGTAGATTGTTCCAATCTATACGATCATATAGGCTTTATTAATATCAACTTTCAACATCATGTAACATCCTTGCCCTCCCCTATTACATTTCATCTAATGAGTTATTTCAGATGACATTAATACATTATCCACAATAGAATGACCCCCCGAAAATGTTGATTGCTCCTAAAAAATAACCTTAGGCAATACTCTCTTTAATCTATTTGCCAAAGCTTTTGACAAAATTTTATAAATTACATTACAAAGAACAATGGTCCACAATCTTTCATGGATTTAGGGTTATCACGATTTGGAGTAGTGAAATGAAGTCCTAACGAAGCAACACATGGTGAGGAAGGAAGAAAGTGGTGACCACCTATAAACACTCCAACACTCAAGTCATTATAGATTTGAGTAGAGTAACAACAACGTAAACAAAAAACATGAATACACCTTAAGGTAACATCGTTTATATATGGGCTTATGAGTGACATAAAACATGATGAGTTAGTTATGTCACATTTGGAATTTGTTAGTATATCATTTACATAAAGTGTGACAAAGTCGATTGCAGCGTGGAGTGATATGAAGTACAAACACATCTATAGAATGTTGTGTTAGTGTATGCAACACATTTCAACACCTCTCAACCATATAACAATTAAAAATTATTAATTTTTTTTAGCACCTCTTAGAAGTTTTCACAGATTTTTTTTGCATAAGTTGGATGCTTTTTTACACAACTAGACAAGAGTCAAGAGAGTGTCAATACTTACTCTTAGTTAAACACTTATCTAACACTCCTATTACAAACAAATTAAAAAGTTAACTTACTTATAAATGTTGGAAGGCTCATAATCGCTTGTTTATTTTTTTTTGTTTAGCTAATTGTCATAAGAATTACTAGTTATTTCAACTTTTAAGGGATATGACTCATCTTGGTTGGGTCATTACTATATAAAAATTGTAAAACCCAACAATTTTGATAGTTAATATATAATCTTATTCTTAATTTAGATTTTTGTTATGCTAATTACACACGCGAACAAACACATGCATATACATATATATATATATATATATATGTGTGTGAGATAATAATCTTGTGTTATATGTTGTAGACATTAGTCATATGTCAATATAAATGTTTGTGTCAAAATCGATGCTTCATAATTGAAATGTATGTGTTGATTGATTTAAGTGATGGCCTCAAATGTATCTCGGATCAATCCTTAAGACGTGTGTCTATTATTCTATTAGATGATTAAATACAAACACGATTGACAAAAGTAAAAATGAATATTTTGATTATAATTAGGTAGGTTTGACTTCATGATATATTAAAATTTAAAATTAATGGCCCCAATTTAATAGTTGGTCGGATCCAAATCCGAATTAAGTTTGATCACCTTATAAGAAGTGAACTTTGCAATAGAATATCCCTTCGTTCACCTATTTATCATTACTTTTGCTTATCCTATCGGAGGAGAATTTAAAGAACTGTAGCATCAAAAGTTCATATGCCAGCTCGAAAAAGCTTTGATGATGCCTCCTCGATCACATTACAAGAAGTTGCAAGTTTGCAACATAACAACCCTATTAAGCAAGTGTAATTAAAAAGTGTAAATAGGTGTACTCTTTTTTTTTTTTTTTTTTTTTTTTTTGTTAAATTTTTTTTTTGTCCTTCTGCGCTTTGCAAAAGACTACATTCACCTACTGACCTACAAATTTCCCTAGAAGAAGAAAACAAAGTAGCCAAATTAAAATGTTATATATATTTGTATGAGGAAAAAAAAAATTGCTTTGAGCAAAAAAAAAAAATTGCTTGCTTGTATAGGGAAAGTCGTGGACTCTTAGCTCCAATTGTCAACTCTCAAGTCTAAGGTATAATATCCATCGATAGTTACAAAACCTAAAACATATTTTACCCTAAAATACACAAATTTTAGAAAATTATACTATATATGCCCAAACATCAATTAATAACGTGTAGAATCAATTGATATTAAACTATACAAGAAATAAAATACAAATAACAAAGTAAAATCACAAATTTTCCTCCATTATTTATATTATACTGAACTGAGCTCAAAACCAGCTTGTAGGATTGAGTTAGGCTAAATCCACTATTCTAACAGGCTATCAAAGCCATTTAGATCCACTTTAAAAATGGGCCACCCACCATTGATGCATGCCTCATAGGTGTGAGGGGGTGTATTGGGAAAAACCCAAGTCCCGCCAATCCTAGATCATTAAAAAGGGCCACCCACCATTTATCCACGTACCAAGCCCAATAGTGCTGGACGTGAGGGGGTGTATTGGGAAAAACTCAAGTCCCACATCAACTAGAGATTAGGCAATTGAATAGTATATAAGTGGAAAATAACCCTTACCTTACAAGCCGGTTTTGTAGGGTTGAGTTAGGCTTAATCCACTATTCTAAGATGGTATCAGAGCCATTTAGATCCACTTTAAAAATGGGCCACCCACCATTGATGCATGCCTTATAGGCATGAGGGAGTGTATTGGGAAAAACCCAAGTCCCGCCTATCCTAGATCATTAAAAAGGGTCACCCACCATTTATCCACGTACCAAGCCCAATAGTGCTGGAAGTGAGGAGGTATATTGGGAAAAACTCAAGTCCCACATCGACTAGAGATTAGGCAATTGAATAGTATATAAGTGGAAAGCAACCCTTACCTTACAAGCCAATTTTGTAGGGTTGAGTTAGGCTTAATCCACTATTCTAACAATAACATCAAACCAAAGTAAAATTAACCTTCTTTTCTTTAACCACAAACAATAAATTTTATTATGTAGTGTTGGCTCTCGTAAAATTTAGATCCTCAATGTTTCAGGTAGATTATGTACAATTGTAAACAATCTTGGAAGGAAGGCCGATAGCTTTTCCCAACGTGTACGAGAACATGGTGAGTATTCTTGCAATCTAAGTCATGATATATATTTCCAAGTGATAATGTATGCACTACGAGGTGCTAGTTGAATGTGAAAAAAATTGTATATTTTTCTTTTCGTAAATATGCACGACTAATCTAAGGTCCTATCTATTTAATATCTACAAATAGAGATTAATTGACATAAAAGTTTTATACAAAAAAGTTCACGAGAAAATTCAACCAATCCACTTGAGTCCATACAACAATTTTAAGATTTGGATACTTTGTATATGAAGTTCAAATCTTATGTCATAATTGTAAAAAAAAAAAACTAAATAAAAGGGAATTTGACCATGCAATTTGACTAATTTTCTTCAAATCATAATTTAACTTTTATTTTATTTTATCTTTCTTATTTTCAATCAAACCTTTTGATTTGATGGTCCTAAGAATGTTCTTAGACATGGAGGTTGAACTAGTACATTTAGATTCGATTCTTAAAACTGTTAAAATAATATTTAGTTGGTAAAATTTATATTCCATAAATATAAATTAGTTATTAGTTTTCAGATTTGGTATAATACATAATTTATGTTTATGGATCCAAAAAAATAATTTGATTTTTTTCTTTTTAGAGTCTATATACAATCCAAACTTGATTCAATGACTTTTATGAAATTTTAGCTAGACTGGGAGCAACGATATCTGACACTCTAATGGGAAAGTTGAGGTTAGGGGCTCGAATTCTTCAAGTTGGAGGAGTGGAGAAAGTCTTTAAACGATTCTTCACTGTGAAGAAAGAGGAGAGATTGTTGAAAGCTTCACAATGCTATCTATCAACCACATCAGGTCCTTTAGCAGGTCTTCTTGATGGAGGACCATCCTTGGTGCTTCATGTGAGACCTATCACATGGTTCATGGCTAGGAGAATGGAGGAAGATAAAAGAGATATCATGTATGGATCCATCTCCTAGGCCCAATTTGAGTAACATAGAATTTTATTGCTTTATTCCAATTTTACCCTTGTACTTTGGGGTATTTTAGTCATAGAATTTATTTTACTTGTATTTCCAATTTTACCCTTGTATTTTGGGGTATCTTAGTCATAGGACTTATTTTATTTTATATTTCCCATTTTACCCTTGTATTATGAGGTGCTTTAGATAATAGGGTTTTAATTTTTGGGCTAGGGTTTTAATTAGGAGGCTGACGCATTTTTTGGTAGCTTTGGACCTATTTTTGGACTTAGA